CGATTCCTCGGGGGCTTTCGCGGCCAGTTTCATATTTCGACAAGCGGACGCGGCGGGGGGGGGGGGGCGAGGTTGGTCCAGCAAGGTGTGTCTGTGTCGACGTTGTTGGTCCACCTCGGGTGGGCGTCACGAATTCGAAAGTTGGCAGCGTAAAAAAAAGAAAATGACCACCAAAAAGGCGCGCAGTCCCGGATTCGAATTTCGGAATTCGAATTTCGACAAGCGGCTGACGGCGGCGTGGGCGTCCCTTGCGGCTGACGACAGCAACGTCCCTCGGCGGAAGCGTTTGGGTTTAGGGGTGGCGGCTGAGTGTCGACGGGCACGCCGAACGTACATGAACACATCTGAAGCACCACACACGCCGTCACATGATCACGATCATTGTCGTCTTCGCAGGCACACCTTTGTCGTCGACGTCTACATCAAGCACTCCGGTCGTCACTTGCACCATCGCTATTGTGCGCCCCGGCGCACGTGGAGTCTTCTGCACTTGGCGACGCCCATGTCGACAGTACCAGTTTCGGAGATGGAGATGAACGGGGAGGCGGGCCGTGACACACTGAGCAAGGCGGAGAGGACAGCGGTGGCAGCGGCCTTGAACGCCATCCTCTTCCGGTGTCAATTGCAGAGGACAGAGGGGAGGATGAGAGTGGCCATTCGCGCACGGAGAAAGACGACGCTGCAGTCCATGAATGTGGACGGCTTCGACACTGGTGCCGTTTGCGACGTCGTGCTGCAGTTGTGCTACGCCATGGGGTGTGGAGCATTTCCCAGAGTGACACCTAGGTGGTGGACGAAGCGACAGACAGGCGGGACGTGGGAGGATCTGCGGCAATGCGACGACGCGACGACCGACTACTTAAAGGACAAGCTGCGCATGTCGCCACGTGTGTTCCGAGAGATCGCAGAAGCTCTGTCTCCCTTCCTTCAACGGTGTCTCACTTTCTATAGGGAGCCCCTCCAGCCTGGCCACATTATCGTGTACGCTTTGTGCAGGTGGGCGTCGGGGGAGACGTACGAGAGCGGGACATGCAGCTTCGGCATTGGCAGGTCTTCTGGTGTTCGTGCTGTGCGGGATGTAACTGCGGTGTTGCTGACTGCGTACCCTGACAAGAAATCGTGGCCGGCGGGGCTGCAAAAGGCGGTCTTCTTGCGTGCTTTCACTGACAAGGGTTTCCCGAGCTGCCATGGGTGCATCGACTGCACCCACATCTTCATCGACAAGCAAGCGAATTGCCCAGGGGAGGACTACTACGATAGAAAACACCATTTCTCTGTCCAGGTGCAGGTCGTTGTCGATTCGAACTTGCGCGTGCTGGATGTGTTCGTCGGGTATCCGGGAAGTTGCCACGACGTAAGGATCGTCCACCTGTCGAGTTTATGGGCGCGCGCGGAGGCTGGGGAGCGTTTCACTGGGCCACCTGTCATGCTGCCTTTCGGTGTGCAGATGAATGGGTATCTGCTGGACGACAATGGTTATCCCCCTCCGAATGGGTAGTCGTCCCCTACGATGGTCTCTCACAGCACCCGTCGGAGTTGCGCTTCGACAACAAGCAGAAGACGGCGAGGGGAGCAGTTAAGAGGGCTTTCAACAGACCGAAGGGGATTTGGAGGTTGTTCCTTCGCTCGCACAAGACGAACATGGAGACGTTGCCGCAACAGTTCGTCGTCGTTTGCATTCTGCACAACATACTCATCGATGCGAGCATCCCCTTCGACGGCAATCTACTATGGGAGGTCGGGCCGGACGGCGGACGGTGTGCGTCGCAGGGTGGATCTTGGGATGCAGCGGCCCTTGAGGCAGATGTGTATAGAGTCGTCGACGGGGGATGCGCTCATTCTGCGGGACACACTGGCGGAGCGAAAGGGTGCGCAGTGAACACAAGCAGGCGTGCGGAGCGGCCGGCTGCAATGACGTGGCTGCGGCGCGAAAGCGGGGCAGACAACATGGGGAGCAGGCGAGAAATCGGAGCAGACGACGTAGGGGGCCATCTTGTCCTTCAAGCGGTGGTCGTCTGCGTTGGCTTCGTTGTGTGTGTCGCCCCGTATTCTGGAACTGGGGAGTTCATGGAACGTTGGCTGTTTCAATGTCGGTTGGCGTGCATGAGGCGGCGTGTGTCGGTAGTTTAGTTTGGTGTTGTTTCGAACTACGCGGTCGTGAGCGTGGTGTCGGCGACTCGGTTGGATGGTCATGGCGCAGTTTAATGCGTCGTCGGCCGGGGCGACGTCAGACGCGTCCACGTGCCAATTGTAGTTGTCGTGTAGTATGCTGTCACCATAGTCGAAGGCATGGGTGTGTGTTCTGTTTCTCGGAAGTTGGAATTGAAGCTGCCATGAAGGCCTTTTGTTTTTCCAAATTGTATTGTCTTCTTCTTTTACTGCGAGTGACAACAATCTGACATACTATCATATCACTTCTTTCTGTTGCATGGCTTGTCTTCCTATATGACGACAAATGAAAAGAAAACAATTGCACGACAGTGTGTGTGTCATTTTTATTGCCTTCATTCCTTCTCACATTTGCAATGCCATGTATGAACATCCCTCACTTTGTCATCATCCATCGGTTCAAGCAAGCAGCCCTTACCCCTTTCCATGCTACTTACCATAACATTCATAAATGCAAATGAAATGGGAATAAAAAGGAAGCACCGCAAAGCTGTAGACATCATGAATATCAATCAACACAATTAGATGTTTGTTTTAACAGATGCGAACATCGATTTGTCAGGTCCCAAAAAAAAAAAGAAAAACAGAAAGGTTAATGAAACACTCCTGCGACATCCGATCCGCCACAGTGATGATTACCGTCGCTAGGGAAAGTCCCCTCCCATAACCTATCATCAAACCCACCCCTCCCCTGCCATCCCGCCACCCCCACCCCCCTCTCTAACGTATACCCCAAACATGTTTCAAACGAACCCCCTATGTTACCGCGCGTTCATTGAACGCGCGTTTCGCGTTCAAGCTTTGAACGCGGTGAACGCGCGTTCAGTGAACGGGGGTAAACACGTTTGACGCGTTTGCGCAGGGGGTTGTGCGGGGTGGGGGGAGCCTTTGGGCAATGTGGGGAGCGGCCGTGGTGCTTGGGGGGACTGTGGGCAGTGTGGGAAGCGGCGGCGCTGCTTGCAGGGGCTTGTGGGCCAATGCCCCAAACAAAAGAGAGAGAGAGAGAAAAAAAAAAGTACTCCTTTTTTTTTCAGGGGGTGGGGGAAACCCCCTAACCCGGCTCAGACAGCTCATGCAGGCTGTCTGAGGGGTCCTCGCCATATGGCTCAGACCCGCCCAGCCAAATCGAGGCAGGCAGCGAGTATGAAGTAGAGCATGAGCTGGCCGAATATATGCTCAGGATTTACGTTCACGTCTATGTTTCAGCAGTTATGGGTTGCTCACGTAGGTAGGCCGTGTTGGTTTCTGTTTTTCTTTTTTCTTGTTTTTTTTTTTCTCGTTTTCCTTGCTTTTCTTAGGAATACGTGCAGTGGCCCTAAGGGCCTCTACTCAGCACATGCACAAAAGACATGTTCTGCAGAAGATTCTTTCTTTTTTTCTTTTCTTCTTTTTT